GAGGTCCCTGGCCATTCCACACACACCCAGGGCCTCCCGTCTCCGCACGCACGCACGTACACATAGGTCTTTGGGACCAAGTTTATCTTTGACATTCTTTAAGAATGCAGCAATTCAGACAAGATGCTCTAGACTGCTCATGAGAACCAGGACCTCCACCAAGGCGCTGACGCCAACGTCTGTCCTGGACCTCCAAGACCTATCCRTGAACTCTGTGCCCAAGTGGCTGACGTAAATGTCTGCCTCCTTGCTCTTGAGAACTTCCGCTGGCCTTGACTTCTTTCAATGCACCAACTTTACTGTGGCACATGTACCCCGCCACAGCATCCTGCTCTTCCCCAATAAATGCCCCTATTCTTGGGAGAATCTCTCTGATCGTTATTTACGTTGACAAGGACAAAGCGAACGACCCAGAATGGCCAAAACAGATTTGAACAAGAACAATGAAACTGAAGTGCTAACATTCTAAGAACTGGTAATCCAAACACGGTGGTACTGGCGTAAACACGTGAAAAGCTCAAAGGAACAAAACAGAAATAAAGTTATGCCTCTACGGACAACAGACTTTTCACAAAGGTACCACGGTAACTCGGTACGGAGATGATAACTGCTTGAATAGATCAGGTGGGAACAACTAGACGTCCACACACAAAAAGACAAGTGGGACTTGGATTCAGACCTCACACTTTTGTAAAAATTTACTCCAAAAAAGATCATGGATCTAAACATAAGAGTATGATATAAAAATATAAGAGAGAATCTCTGTGGCTTTTAGATTGTGCCAAGGTTCTTAGATATGGCATCCATTCATTCATCTCCAGACCAACCAGAGTCCATCAAAAAATCTTAGGATTTGTTCTTCAGACGGCAGCTAGAGAGAGAATGAGAAGAAACCCCACAGATGGAGAGAGTCTTTGCAGAGCGTGCCCCTCATGAGGGGCCCACCCAGAACACCCAAGGAACTTTCAGAATTCAACAGGAGGCAAACAGACCAGCCCACGAAAAAAATGATGGGCAAAGGTTCGAACAGACTTTTCACGGAGCAAAATGTCAGAGCACAAAGAAGCCCGTGGGGAACGGTGGATCCCATTAATTGCTGGAGAAATCTCTAGAGAGCACCCCCCACTTAGGAGGCCAGGTGGAGTGCTGACAGGGACGTGGAGAAAGAGCCCTGGTGGCCTTGCACAGTGGTCCTTGGGCGGTTTTTAAACATCTGAGCACAGGCCTCCCCCGTGACCCTGTCATCTGCTTCTAGGCCTCTTCTCAGGAGCAAAGGAAATGCGTCCCTGTGGCAGAGCTGATGGGAATGACCACGGCAGCAGGGTGCATCGCGGACACTGGAATCGGCCCTGTGTCCTTCAGCGGAGGACTGGGCAAGGCAAAGGTGGTAGGCCCCCGCCATGGCTGAAGGACCGACATCCTGTTGCCTGGTGGGGCGGATCTCAGCCAGGACCCAGCCTGCTCCAGGTCTTCACCTGCACCCCCCCCCCCCAGGACGGGAACGGGCCAGCACTCGTCGCTCAGGAAGGGGGTAGGGAGGTTGGAGGGACCTCAGGCATGTCCTCTCCTGATGGTGGTTTCGTGGTGGTGACACATGTCAAGACTGATCACACCGTCCGCTTTAAACATGTCTGTCAATTATACTTCAAAAGAACTGCTTCCAACATTCAAAGGCAGATGACAAGTTGGAAAGACGTGGAGTCGGCTGTGACAGACAAGGGGTAATGCAGTGAAGCCGCTAATGCACCTGCAAACACAGCCACGGAACGTCACCACCTGGATTAGTCAGCGGGGGCTGCAGGGACAGCGCCAGGGCCCGAGGCTTCCACAGCAAACAGCCACTCTCCCACATCCTGGAGGCCAGCCCCACCCACCTCCCTCCTGGCTGTGTCCTCCCCAGGTCACATGGGGGTGACCTCCTCTTCTCCCCCAGCCAGGGGCCTGCCAGGAGCTCCAGGCAGCCCCTCACCTCCTCTTCTCAAGGACCCCAGTCATCCTGGATTGGGGCCCCCCTACCCAGCATCCTGGGGCACACAGGTGGTCCCCAGACTCAGTCTCCAAACACGTTCACATTCTGAGGAGCCAGAGGTCAGGACTGGCAACAGAGGAGCTGTCGGGGAGGGTACAGTCCAGCCTTTAGGAAAAGAAGCCACAGACACGGACGAGTCAGATTCGGAAGTGCAAACCTCGCAGGTCCACAGCAGAGCCCAAAGGCTCCCCAGCCCAACCAGGGAAGAGGAACGTATGGAGCCCGGAGGGTGCCAGCAGCCATGATCGGCCCCCTGGGCACCCTCGCCCTCCAGGGCCAGGAGACCTGGGGAGAAGCCCGAGGCTGTCTAGCAGGGGCCGAGGCCTGGGGACAGGGCCCCTGGACCCACAGTACTAGATGCGCCCTGGTCCTCTGGCACCCTGTGGCCCCCACAAACAGCCCCACAACCTGGGCTTCCTCAGACCCCCAAAGCCACCACACAGGAGTCGGGACAGGACCCCAGGAGGTGCGATTGCAGCCTTCCCTGGGCTGTGCTGTGACACCAGAGATATCTGACACCTCCCCAAACAGAAGAGCCCTTACCCCTGTGGGAGGCTAGGCCCGGGTAGGGCAGGGTGGGTCAGGGGCAGGGTCAGCTACTCCTCACCACACGACCCACACCCAGCAGAGCTGCCTGCCGGGCACCAGGGCTGGTCTGTGGAGCATGCTGCTCCTGGGACTCAGGGCTCAATGGTGGATGCCTCCTCTCCAGGACCCCCCTCTCACCCCATCTCCCCACTCCTGCCCTCTAGGAAAACTTTCTCAGATTCCCAAGGAGGAGGTGGGAGAGGAGAGTGTCYTTCCCACACACAGACTTGGGCAGCTACAGACCCCAGCACTTGAAGTGTCCTCTCCAGGGGACATTCTGGCAGCTCCCGCCTCCTGCCCCCCTCCCAGAGAGTTTTCCTTCTCCTCCTAGCCAGGGTCTCTGGCGCTTCCATACATTCCACTGGTTTGTTTGGTTTGGGGAACGTGTACTCACAGATACAGGATTCCTTGGTTTGGTTCTTTTTTTTTTTTTTTACTGGGGATTGAACCTGGGAGTGCTCTGCCACTGAGCTACTGAGCTACACCCCTAGCCCTTTTAATTTTATTTTGAGTCAGGATCTCACTAAGTTGTCCAGGCTGGCCTTGAACTCGTGATCCTCCTGCCTCAGCCTGCCCCAGAGCCAACCATAAATCCCCAAAATATTTCTCTAACCTCCCCCACCTTTCTTTGTAGAAGCCAGTCCTAAAGAATGCCTCTGACTGGCCATAGGGGTCCAGAGACCCTCATTCTAGGAAAGGGCCTGCCCTGTACCCTGGAGAAAGACTCGCCTGCCTCGCAGAGACCAAGAAGAATCTGAGCAGACGGCCTGGCTGGGCTGCCCTGAGCATGGTACCCCCCACCAGTAGGTACCCTGCTACATGGTGCCTGGACCCACCCATCCCACCTAGGGCCTGGACACCCGCTCCTCCAGTGGAAATCCCCTTCCCAGGAAAACTGCCCCCAAGTTCCCCTCCTTATTCTAGATAAAATGATCGTTGACATCATTGAACAGGACAAGGGGGCTCCAGACCCTCCCAGGGGCTGTTCCTTCCAGCACAGCCCTCCTGTCCACCAGCTCCAGTCTCCCCACTTGCCCTGGGCTCTCCTCAGGTCGCCATCCCCATCTAGAGGCCTGGTCTCCCTCTATGGGCACCAGCGGGAACCCTTTTCCCCTACCTGGGGACTCCAGACCCTGGGTTTGCTGGACAGCCCCATCTCCCAAGGACACCTAAAGGCTATGGGTGCACACAGGAGTAAGCCAGCCTGCTGGGGAGGCTGTAGTCAAGGGATTGAAGAGTGGCAGAGAGCAGCCTGCCGACAGGAAAGGAAGAGAGAGTGGGGCCTGGGGGCAGGCAGGAGCCTGCAGTCCCCTCCTCCCCCATAGGAGGTTCCTGGTTGCAGCACAAGTCAGGGAGAGGAGTSGGGGGCAGGGGTCCCCTGAGCGAAGGCCTGCCTGCCAGAGGCTGGAAGAGGCCCGGCCTGGAAGGGGGATGGTCTGACCGAAAGGCCTGGAGAGGCCAGGGGCCTCTTGGAGGAGGCCTGGCTGGGGAGCCAGCCCTGGGGAGTGTGCAGGGCTGCTGGTGAGCCGGCCTGGCCAGGAGCTGGAGGAGGCGGGGGAGGGTCCTGAGAATCCTGAGCGGGCAGCAGTAGCCCCTGGCCAGGTGGAGCGAGAGGGGCACCAGCTCACCTTATCACATGTGCCCCCCAGGCTGTGACTTAAGTTGCTGGGAGGGGAGAGAGTAAAGGGCACTGGGGTGTGGGGCTGCGGCATCCTGCTGGGGTTGGGGTGTGGGGGCAGGGGCAGTTCACAGGGAAAGAGAGGTGGGAAGAAGTGTCCAGAGGTGTCCTCTGCTGTGGAAGGCGCGCAGAGGGCGGGGGATTTGAAGCCCAGATGTCCAGGGTGGGCCTCATGGGGCGGGTGCGAGTGCGGGTGTGGGGAAGAGGTGGGCGAAAGGGTTAYGGGAGAAGGGATACACCGTGCAGGGCCTCCCAGGAATGCGGGGCTGGCGGTGTGCGGGAGATGTTGCCCAGCGCAGCAGGCGGGGCCGGCAGGGCAGGATGCGGTGTACTGTGCAGGGCAGTGCAGCGCCTGAAGATGCTTGGCTCAGGGCGCTGGGGAGTGTGGGGCCCTGCCGAGTGGAAGCAAGGGCTGGGGGTGGGGCAGAGCGCTTGCTCTGCAACGTGAGCCGAGGCGGAGCAGGGAACGGTGGGGGGCTGGCGCGGGCCTGTGCGGTGCGGGTCGTGGAGGAGCAGGGTGGTGCTTGATGCGGGCAGGGCGGTGCGGGGCGCGGTGCGGGGGGGGGCTTGCGGGGGCGGGGGGACGTGGTGCTGGTGCGGGGTGGGGGTGGGGCGTGGTGCGGGATGCTATGCGGGGCCGTGCGGGGGGCCGTGCGGGGCGGCGCGACCTCCGGAAGCGAGGGGGCGCTGTGCCAGCACGGGCGGCATGCGGGGCGGACGCCGCTCCTTCCTGCTGGCCTAGGCGCGTTCGCCATGGCGCGGAACGTGCTGTGAGTAGGGTCGCCGCAGAGCCCGCGCGGCCACGCAGCYGGGACCGCAGGCCAGGGGCCCGGGGCGGGGCGGGGGGCTGCCGGCGGCGGTGCGCAGGCGCGTGTGGTGGTTCCGCGTAGCGCGGGGCGCAGGTGCTTGCCGCAGGGGAGCCCGGGGAGGGGGCGGTCCCAGCGAAGTCCCCGCAGGGTTCCCGCAGGTGCCTGGCCCGTGTTGCTGGCCGCAGCCTGCCCGAGTGTAAGCAGAACACACGCATGTTCTTGGTGAACACAGTGGCTTTGGGGAACACAGTGGCTTTGGGGAACACAGTGGATTTGGGGACCCCCGAACGCACAGCTGGGCAGAGGGCTGCAAGTGGGACCTCGAGGACTCTCCCCCATAGCTTCCTTCTGCCGACGTGGGGACAGGGCTTGACCAGGACCCAGGGGCCCCTGCCCTCTGAACCCAGGCCGCCCGCCCAGGGCGGGAGGAGAGGCAGGGCAAGGCCGGGTCAGCTCACGGGTCAGCTCACGTGTTCACCCGAGGGCCCGGAGGGAGCTGAAGGGACGTCCTATGGATGGGATGTGGTGGGGTGGGGGCTAGGGACAGGGTGGGATACAGATGAGTCACCCGCCGGGCCACTGGGAGGCAGGGCTGGTGGCGGGGAGCCAGGTCCTGGGTTTCGAGAAGGGTGGAGTGGAGTTGCACTTGAGATGTGTCAAGTTTGAGGTGTTTGTAAAACATCTTGGGGAGTCGTGGGTTCAGGCCCTCCAGAGGACCTCCCTGTCCCCGGGGATCTGCACTCCGGCAGAGAGGCTGGGGGAGCTGTGCCCCATCCCTGGACCCCGGAGAAAGGTGTGGGCACTGTGGTTGTTCCAGAGCCAGAGGCCCCAGGCCACCAACAAGCCCTAGGATAGGGCCTGAGAATGTGGACCTGTGAATGGTCCACACTAAGCCAGGGTGGCCTCAGGGGCCTGGGCCCTCTTTATCAGGTGGTCTCTGCCCTTCCAGACCTGCAGCACATTACCACCCTTGGACCTCAACTCCCAAGGCTTGGAGAATGGAGATCTGTGACCACCCCCTTTTTCATCATTAAAGAGTGGGTCCCCAGATTTGTGTGCCCACATGCAGTGCCATAGCTGGGCACCAGAGGGAATATGTGTGCCCTGTGGACAGCCACCGTTGTCCTGGGCCTGTCAACGAAAGGCCCGGCTGCTTCAGAGCCGTCTTGGGGCCTCCCCAGGTTGCCCACTTTGCCACCTGAACTCTCAGGCGCAGAGAAGCTTAGACCCTGCCCAGGAGGGTTTTGGCAGCCTCCTCTTCCATTTGGAGCTGCTGGCCTGGCCTTGACATGTCCACTTGGTCAGCAAGTAGGCACACATTTTGCCAGGGTGCCTGTTTCTGCGAATCCCTGGCAACAGATGGCCAGTGCTGTCTGACCCCCAGGTGCTTCTCAGCCCTGAGGCCCAGTCCACCTGTCCAGCCCCAGCTCCTTCCTGGCTCCTTGGTGCTCCCAAGACCTGGGGGCTGAAGATCAGAGTGTGTGATCCCTGAAGCTTGGTCATTGTGGGCCTTGTGGAGTCCCCTCTGCCCTGGAGCTGAATGTTCCCCAGGGCAGGGCCCAAGTGCAGTGCTGCGGATTGTTCACATGGCTTTGGGTGAGACCCCAGGTGGTTCCCCCCACGTCCCCTCAGACTCTCCTTGAGCTCCTGCGTCCTGGAGCTAAGACAGCTACTCCCCACCCCTGAGACTCAGGGGCCAGGTAGGTGGAGCTCTGTGTCCACCCTGCCAGGCCAGGGGATGTGCAGGACCACTGGGGGTTCTGCTTGATTGGCTCCCAGAGCATGGCCTAATGGTGAAAGGAGGTGTTAGCTATGCATGCCCCTCAGCTGCTTCTGTCCCCTTTGGGGTAAGCCCAGCTTGTTTAGAGGTATGGGTTCATTGAGGCACCACGCTCACAGCCCAGCCTTAGCTTTCCTGTTCCACCAGGCCAGGGTCCTCCTGCGTGGGAATGGGGGCAGCCCGCTTCTGCTGCTGCACCCCATGGCAGCAGGGTTGGCTGGCCCCAGTTAGGCTGTCCTGCAGGGGCTGCTGACTCCTAGTTGGAGCCCACCTCCAGTCTGTTTGTGGGTGTCCCACTGCTTCTCTTCTTCCTTCTTTTCCTTTTTCAGTGGTGCCGGGGTTGAACTCAGGGCCTCGGGCATACTAGGAAACCTGTACCACTGAACTATACCCCGGTCCTCATGATCGGCTTCTGTCCTTCCTGCAGGTATCCCCTGTACCAGCTGGGCGGCCCCCAACTCCGTGTGTTCCGAACCAACTTCTTCATTCAGCTGGTGCGGCCTGGCACTGTGCAGCCCGAGGACACTGTGCAATTCCGGATCCCCATGGAGTAAGCCCCAAAGGAATTTGTTCTGTGGAGCATCTTGAGGGCTATCCTGTCTCTGCTCATAGGGCAGGATCTCCTGCCTGGGAAGAACGCTTGCAGAGCTCCAGAGAGTGGGGAGGGAGCATGCTGCTGGCAGCTTCCTGGCTCGCCCTCACCTGGGGAAGGCACAGCTGAGAGCCTGCAGTCCCGCTCATTTTCTGGCTCTGTTCCTTTGTTGAATTCTTGCCCCAGTCTTCTCAGGAAAGGCATCCCAGGAGGCTGGGCTGAGAGCTCGGCCAGGTCTCCAGAGTGTCAGTCCCTGCCTGGCTTGGCTAGCCAGGTTCATTGTGCCAGGCACCTTTAGGATGATGCAGTTACCCCAGCCAGAACTGAGGTGTTGCTGTGGAGCATCAGGGTTCCCGGGTGTCCTCTGGTGGGGTGGACGGGAGTCTGTCTGGAAGTTGAGGGTTCATGCTACCAACCCTCAGGCAAGGCCTGAAGAGGCCTCAAAGCTGAATTTGGGGTAACCTTTAAGATTTTTCTAAAAAGAAGGTGAATGTGCCCGCTGAGGCCTGCCTGGGAAGCCTGTCTGCAGTCAGGGCTGTCAGACCTGGGGCAGGTTGGGCTCCCAGCGGCACTTAGACATTGGCACTTCCTCTCTGGGAGCTCAGCCGGGCTGGGGGGAAGGGATCCAGTGCCTGAGGTCCCATCCCTCTGTCACCCTAGTCCTGGGTGTCCAGAGAGAGGACAGGGCCCGGGCTAGCATCAGCACTATCTTTGGGCCCTGCCTGCTTCAGACCAGTGAAACCCAGGAGTCCTCAGCCCGGACCCCTCACCCTCTGGTAGGTTTTGCCTTTTAGTCCCGTCTACCCTCTTTTCCTTTGTCCCTCACCCAGGATGACCAGGGTGGACCTCAGGAATTATCTTGAGCGCATCTACAATGTACCGGTGGCTGCTGTCCGGACCCGGGTGCAGCATGGTAAGTGTCAGGGCTGCTGCCCTCCTGTCTGCATGGACTCTTCCAGGTGTCTGCATAGGACCTTGGGTTCCCTTGGCACCCGAGGAGATGAGGCACAGAGGGTTTGGGGTGACTTGCCAGGGCCGCATGGCGTTCAGGTGGCAGACTGCTACTGTAGCCCACCGTGCCACAGCTGCTTGGGGAGGACCCTGCTGTGCCCACAGAGCCCCGTTCCCTAGTCCCCTCCCGGTCCTCTCACCCCTCCCGCACACTGGACCGCAGAGCTCTGAGCCTCGCCGGGTGGAAGGGAAGAGCCTGTTGGTTCCTGTACTCTGTGAGTTGGAATCTCTGAGTTTCTGCAGAGGCAGATGGTGTTCTCATAAAGACATTTGTTATTTTCATTTTCAAAGGTGATTTTCTCTTAAACTGCTTAATTTTAGTGGCACTGGCCAGTGGGTCTGAGCGCTTTTGGTGCTGCGCTGCTGGCTGGGGAGAGAGCCTCTCTCTGGAAGGGGCTTCCTGAGCCTGTGGACTGGGATCTGTGCTGGGAGCAGGGAGTCAAGTCGGCTTCCCTCCCACAGGTTCCAACAGGAAGAGGGACCACAGAAACGTGAGGATCAAGAAGCCGGACTACAAGGTGGCCTACGTGCAGCTGGTGAGCGCGGCCCTGGCCTCCGCTTGGTCATTGGGCACCCAGGCCCCTGAGGAAGGGCAGGTCTTTGTGAGGCGGGTGAGAGCCGCCACGGGACTTCCAGGGCTCAGCAGAACTGGCCATGGCTGGGGAGAGGGGCCTCCTGAGACTGCAGTCCATTCCAAACGCAGACTCCCCTCCCCCGACTTGGGTTCCAACAGAAACCAGAACGTCTGAGTATCTAAAGCTGCTGGCCCCTTGAGGGCCTGTCCTTGGCCAGGTTCCAGGCTAGAGTGTCCCTGGGGGCGCATGCCCTGTCAAGGGGCCTGGGTATCAGAGCCATGAGGGGTGGTGTAGGGTCCAGGGTCATGTGTGGTTGAGCCCAGCACATTCCACCAGGCCTTTGGTCCCATTCAGCCCTAAACAGCCTCTGAGCACGGGCCACCAGAGCCTCAGCTAAGGCTGCTTCTCCCTGCGCCCCGGCCGGGAAGACAGTTTCTCTGCTCCCCTCTGGAGTATGCTCAGCCCGGGCGGGCGGCCTGTCTTCAGGCAGAATGGCCTCTGACCTTGTGGCGGCTTCAGACCGCGTGGCYTCTGTGGGAATCTTACAGGGCTGGCTCCGCCCCGGCAAGGTCTATTAACTGTCCCCCACTGCTTGGAACCCACAGGGGGTTGGGGGCTTCCTCCAGTTTCTTCAGTTTCTGTGTAAACAACCCACCAGGGAGCCCGGTGGCCCAGCCGCTAGATGGCAGTAGCGCTATTGTGAGATCCTGGCCCAGCCTCACAGAGTCCCAGGGCAGTGTGTGCAGAGGCCGGGCCAGCAGAGCTGTCTCCACACACAGTGGTGCTTGTTCTGAACGTGGCCCGAGTTGTGCTCCTGATGGTTTCTGTGCTTAGCACCAGCCTGTCCGCCTGGGCAGAGCGACCACCGCCTGGTGGGGGCCCGGGTGTTGCTGCCTCAGACGACCCTCTCTTTTGTCATGGCCTGTGGGCCACGTCCCCTGTGTCGGCATTGGCCACACGTTACTTTAGAGACGCTACGGTTACAAGTGGCCTTTGAGCCATCCGAGCCCCTGCGTTTCCCCCAGCCCCACCTCACTCATGAAAGCTGAACTCGTGAGCCAGTTAGATCCGGCGTCTGCAGCTGCCGCCCGGCATGGCTTTCTCCCTCTGAAATCCAGGTGGCCAGAGACAGGCCAGGCAGCTAGGGGCCCCGCGTGTCCCTGTCAGCATGGCGCTTCCTGCCCCCCACCCCCAAACTCAACAGGTCTTGGCACAGCATAGCTGGGCTATGGCAGTTGGTCCCTGTCCCCCCCAGAGGGACAGCATCCGCTGAGGGTGTCCCCTGGGTCCTCATGGGCGGGGGCCTGCTAACAACAGCTCATTGTTAGGCACGGCAGGGTCAACAGGAGGGACGAGAGCCATCCGACTGATGGTCGTTGGCAGTGGTGGGAGGTGCGGTCCCCTTGCTGGGCGCCCCAGGGTCTCTCCCCTGACAACCTGACAAACCTCTCTTTGGCCCCAGGTCTGGGAGGGAGCCGCAGCAAGCCCCGAGTTACCCACGTAACAGAAAGAGCATTGAGGGTGTTACACAGAGCGGCGTTTGAGTGAGTGGCGCTCATGGGCCGTGAGCTCCAGCAGGACAAACGCTGCAGGCCAGGGCCYGCACCTTCCGGCCGACACAGCGGCCCCGGGGCCGGGATTACGGAGCCAGGCTGTTCCCCTGCTCTCCTGACCTTCCTCCTTTCCTCTTCTTCTCCCCTTCTCCCCCAGAGTGGCCCAGCTCCTCCTCGGGGCGGGGGGTGGGGGGCATTCTGCGGGAAGCTGGCTGCACCCACAGGTGCCCTCCACCTCCCCTGAGGAGTGGAGTGTCCCCTCACTGGCTGCCCCTGCACTTCCCCACGCCATGTGCCCCCCTTTGTCCCTACTTTGTGTCCACCCCAAGACCAGCAGAATCACCCTGGCATTAAACCCAAGTCCCTCCTGGGCTCAGCCTCTGTGGAGTGTTACCCTTTGGTACTTTTAAAGAGGGAAAAAGAAGTCGCGAATGTGCAAGATGGGGCCCACCGGCTGGCCGCCATGCCACCAGAACCTGCAGGGCCTCCCGTTCTCAGGGGACCCGTGCCTGCTTCAGGTCATGCTTGGCTGCCTGCCCAAGTCCAGATTCCCTGACAGCCAAGAGCACCCCTCTGCCTGTCTGGTCAAGTGTGGCCCCCTCGGTGGTCTTCCAGGCCCTTCATCTGTGTGGAAGAGCCAAGGCCCCCTCCCTCCGGCTCTCGAGCTGCCTGCTGATAGCGTGAAGGCAGCCCCAGCGCCTGCTTAGGCCCCCGCAAAGCACCGTCCCCTCCTCACCAGCCCACACTGGTGCCTGGCCCCCGTCCTTGGGGCCTGGGTTGGGACGTGGCCATGCTGACACAGAATGAACTTCTAGTGAAAGACGCAAAGCCAGTTAATTAGCAAAGCCGGTCTGATTTATGGACTGCTGCATGTGTAGGTTTCTGTGTATGTTATGTGTGTTTTATTTGCCAAGCTCAGCCTGGAGGAGGGGCGGCCGCTAGGTATTTTGGATGGAAAATGTTTTAGCATGGCACCAGGCGCCGTTTGTGTCCTGTTTTTCTGCGCCTAGTTCCTGCCCCCCAGTTCGACCTGGCTGCTGCCGGTGAGTGGGCCTTTACTGGGCTATGTTTCATGAGCCCCAGGCTGGTGCAGCCACCGTTGCAGAGATAGTGTGGATGAAAGGGGCCTTGTTGCAGGGAGAGGCCCCGCTCCTGGTGGGAAGCGAGGCCCGGCAGTCTGGAGATGTAGATTTGCAGGCAGGCCTTGGGCCTGGGCCCCGAGACACCCCACTACAGGGTCACTCTGAGGCCCCTGAGACATCCCACTACAGGGTGACTCTGTCCTCCGAGCCGTCCGCTGTAGGGGGACAGGAAGGCTCTGCCTCGGTGCTGAGCTGGAGCTCTGTTCTCCCCCCAGGCCCACGGGCAGACATTCACCTTCCCAGATCTGTTTCCTGAGAGAGAGCAGAGCCCTGCAGGAGGCCCTGTGGAGGAAGGGCCCAGCGGGTTTCCAGAGGCCCAGAAGCCGAGCAGCAACCCCCGGCAGGGCGGTATCCCCAACTGGTTCAGCCTGTGAGCGAGCAGCAGCGAGCAGCGGTTTGAGCAGCGGTCAGGGACGACGGCCCAGACCCCAGTGGTGGAGAAGTTCTGACAGCCCAAATAAAATTCCTGCTGTGAGGACAAAGAACTGGAAGCTTTGTTTCCTTCTGTTCTGGCCTCTGAATTTCAGCCGTGCATGCCCACAGCGGGCAGCCTGGCTCCGAAAACTCACAGGCCCAGGGAGCCACTGGCTGTGCTGCATGTGGCCTGGCAGTGGGGGAGGCTTGCAAACCGGAGGCCAGGCTCCCACAGCGGGAGGCAGGCAGGCAGGCCGACTGCGCCAGGAGCCCCGGCTGGGAGAAGACGGGAGGGGGGTCCAGCCTGGGCCTTGATTGAGCTCAGACTGTCGGGAGGCAGAGGTGGGTGCTGGTGGAGGGTGTGTGCCACAGGAAGAGCCCCAGCCCCACCCTCATTGAGACAGCACAGGACCCCTGTCCAGGCTGGGTTTGGGCTTGGCTCAGTGGGCAGGATGGACCAGGGAGTGTGGATGGGGCAGAAGGACGCTGGTGCAGAGAGGAGTTTTGTGAGGGCCCCAGGGCAGGTGGGCGGGGGTCGTGGCTCACTGGTGGTGGGGACAGGTCAGGGAAGGAGAGGGTGGGGTGGGCACCGGCTGTCCTGCCATGGTGCTGGCATGCTGTGTTTCCTGGTTTCTTCTGCAGCTTAGCATCAAGGCCTTTCAGCCACACAGCACCCTTGGCTGGGGCTGAGCTGGGCAAACCAGGACAGCCTCCAAGACCCTGAATTGCATGAGGAATTTTGAGTTCTGGTTTTGGTAGCGTCTTACATTGCACCTAAACAGGTCCCCCAGGGCTCGCGCAGCCCCTGGCAGACCTCAACCTAATGGCTATGGGTCTTTTTCCAGAAAGGGCCCAGGGTCCGGACAGATCCCGGGGTGCCTGAGCCTGGGTCTCCTGATGCCCTCTCCCAACCAGGACATCTCAGAGCATCTTTGTTGACTTCAGTTCTTCACAGAGGCTCTGCGGACTCTCTCCTGCTTGTGGACTCTGGGATTTGGAGAGTCAGATGAGGGGCCACACCAGGGTGTAGTTTGGGGGGAATGGTCACTGCACTTGGCTCTCCTCACTGTCCCCGCCCTGGCCATGCCACGTGTGGGTGGGAGGACTCCGTAGGCACCACGTGCCCTGCACACACCCCGTAGCTCCGAGGGCCTGGGGGTGCAGCTGGCCTCTGTCAGAGGAGAAGCAGGGACTGGGACATGGCACAGGGGAGCACATGCAGCACCCTCAAGCCCAGGCACCCCCAGTAAGCAGAGTTGCCTGCTCCCTCAGGGGGCGTCTTGTCCATTTCTGTGTGGGCACAGGCTGGGGCCCAGCCCTGCCTCTGGACAGGAGCCTCCTGAGGCACTTGGTGGCTGTGATAATGTATTGGGTGCTAGTAGGGCTGCCGGGGAGCAGAGGCGGGTGCCCGGAATCTGCCTGGTGGAGAAGGCCTGGGACCCGAGGGAGTCCTAGCACCTGCCACTTGGCTTACGTGAGCAGTAGTGTGGTGCTCCAGGTGGATGTACCTGCACCTGTGTCTAGGTCATGGGTGGGCACTGGAGATGGGAGGTGGACAATGGCAGGGATGGGTGCCAGCCAGGCCACCAGGACAGGGGTTGTGTATGATGAGTCTCAATAGGGAGAGCTGAGGCCCCAGGGAGCAGGTGTGGAGCAGGAGCTGGGGCCTCGGGGGTCCAGGGAGGAAGGATGGGGAGGATGGGGATACCCTGGCCTGCTGACACACAGGCTCCCCGTGGATGGCTACAAGCCACAGCCCTGGCAAAGCCCCGTCACCTGGGACTYGGGGAGCACCCACGAGCGCCGTGTGTCTGAGTGTATCGGATGCTAGGAGGGCGGGTAGCTAAAGATGGGGGAGCAGAGTCCCCGCACTCCAGAGAACCTAGCCGCAGGGCTGCCTGGCCACGTGGTGTCCCGCCCCCCGTGCCTCCGCCTGCCCACTTGAGTTCTGGACCCCATTGTGTAGTGCCACCCTGATGGTCTGAGCAGAGTCCAACTCTCCTCTTCCTGGAAGGCTTGGAGATGGAGACGGGGAGTCAGCCCCCRCACTCCCCCCAGCCGCAGGCGGGAGGGCACCCTGGCTGGAGGTGAAGGCCCTGCAGACTGCACCTTCAGTGTTGATTTAGAGGAGGGGGGAGGTCAGGAAGTGGGGCAGGAGGAACGCAGTCGACTGTATTTTCCTTAGAGAAATAATTCATGGGGCCCTGGCGTGCTGAGGACCCTCACTCAGGCAGGGGAGGAGGGATCCCATCCTTCACGGTGACTCCGCACACAGACTGTTAACGGCTCCACAGGGCTCCAGGCAGCGGCCAAGGTTGCCCTTCATCAGGCCTGCCATGCCCCCACGCCTGGCTCCTCTTCTAGCCTTGTCCCAGCCCCCGGAATTCCCCCACAGCCCAGCTAGGGGCGGAGGCGGGGCCTTGAGCAGCTGTGACCTGCCCCCCAGCACCTGAGCAGCTTCCTGGGCCAGCCATGGTGACTCAGTGACGCAGTGGACACTTCTGGCCTAGACGTCGTCTCCTGCAGTGAGACGGCTTGAGCTGATGTGTTGGGGAGACTTGGTCAAGGGGACATGCTCATGGACATGGGTCAGGAACACATTCCCCAGCCCTGGTTGGGAGCCCCCTTTGCCTCTCTACCCTCCTGACCCCAGGAAAGAGACTGGCTGAGGGCAGAGCCTGGAGGGAAGGCCCTCTGCACCCCCCCAAGCACTCAGCTTGGGCCCTGAATGAGGTGCCCATGGTGGGAGAGACCAAGGCTGACCCCTGGGGAGCCAGATGGGTGTGGCCTTGGAGGCATGGTGAGGGCTAGCCTCCAGCTTGCGACCTCCAGCTCACAGCCTCCAGGGCAGGTTCACACGAGATCCCATTTGGGGTCTCCTACTTAACAGATAATGCCTGACCCTCGCCAGGTTTTCCCAGGCACCAGCCCTGCCTACTCAAGGGGTTCTCTAGGCTCCCAAGACCCCCTCTGGACACTTCCCAGAGGCCTCATGCTACTTTGCCCCTCTGGCCCAGGAGGCTCAGTGCCCCAGGAACCCCTCCTCCCTGGACGGAGCAGAGCTGGCCGGCTGCTCAGCACCAGGCAGAGGAGGTGGGGTGTACCAGTGGGAGTGTGGTGCTCTGCGCTCAGGAAGTGGGCCCCGCTGGGTACCCTACCCCGGTACCCGGCCCCACTGCTGTGAGGCCTGGAGAGAGAAGACCAGCACATAGTGGGCCCTGCCTCTGCCCGACACAGGCGTTCCTTCTGCATGGGGATGTGGTGGACATCCTCTGGTTCCAGCTCTGCCCCCCTAGTGCGGTTCTCTCCCATGTGTGGGCCTCTCCCCTGCACATTACTGCAGTCCCTGCACGCCTGGGTGGGACCCTGTCCCACCAAATGCTTCTGTCCCTGCAGAGGGACTTGACTGAGATAAAGCTCCTGGGGCTGACGGGAACCATGGCCCCATTGCCTGGGTCCCAAGCAAGACAAGAGTGGGAGGGAGACCCAGACGGGTGGGGTCTCTGCTTGGGCCGGCTTTCCAACACCCTCCCTCCTAGGGACATCTGCTGCTGGGAGCAAGGACAGGGGCTTCCTGAGTGAGGTATGCCCCCTGGGTTTTCCCACGTGGCATCTAATTCCACTGCAGGAGGGATGGAGAGACCCTCACGGTCTCTGCTGCACAGGAAGGACTGGGCTGGGCTGGTCCAGGCCCTGCTGGGCCCACCCCTTCCCCTGTGTGCCTGTATTATGGCCACAGCAGGCCTACATCAGTGGCCTTTGGGGACATACCCCTGACCCCCAGCAGCTCCAGGAGAGCCAAGCCTCTGGGTCCAGCAGAACCACCCCAGGCAGCAGCCCTCTGCTAGCTCTCTTCCTCAAGGGCCAGCAGCACTGTCCTGCAGTGGTTTCGCCTGCCTGGCATCACAGTTCCACCTCCACATGCCGTCCCTCCTGTACCAGGAAGCAGGGGCCTGTGGGAGCTAGCACGGGGAGAGGGAGCACTGGAGGCCTGGGCCCCTGCTGTAGAGAGCGGGCCCACGCAGCTCCAGGGGCCTGGGGTGCGGGTCACACAGAGGCCGTGGCCCAGGTGGGGTCCTGGAGGTCTTCTGGCCTCCGTGCCCTCCACCGCGGCCCTCTTCCACAGTCCCCTGCATCCAGGGAAGCAGTACTTCCTCTGTCATCCACCAGGTCCTAAGGCAGAGGGGAAGCCGAGGAAACCAGGCCCCCTGGAAGGAAGCCCCGAGCAGCCATCATCTGGGCTCCTGTCAGGAAGTCAGCTCTGCAGACAGGAAGGCAGCTGCCACCCAGCCCCAGCCAGGCCACAGCTGGGGTCCGGGCATGTCGAGAGGCCCAGGTGCTGTGGGCATCCCCAGCCCCCCGCGGTTTCCTCCTGCACAGGAGGCTGCTTCCTGTCATCTGGTGACACAATTGTCCCCTACCTGACTTCACCTGGGGCAGAGAGAGCTGGCCTGGCAACATTCATTCCTGTTCTTTCAAAGCCTTTATTGAAAGGTGGCTCACATACCACACGTTCCACCCACCTGAGTGGGGTGACGCGGTGGCTTTCTGGGTGCCGCGGGGGCTGCACACCTGCGACTGGCAGGCACTTTCATTAACCCTGCCTAGCTTAGCTGTGGCTCCCACTCTCCTCCCCGGCCCCCGGAACCTCCTGGATGGGGGTTTCTATCCTGATGGACCAAGCTTCATTCTTGCAGTCAGCCACCATGGCCTGGGGGCACTCCCACCCTTCGGCCCTTGCAAGACACTGTGGCGATGCACATCTTTGCGTGGACCTGAGTTTCCATCACCCAGCGATGGACATGCCTGGCCCAAGGCTGTTGGCCTCCCTGTGTGCAGGATTCCTCCCTGCCACCCACTGCCATCTCAGTGCCTCTGGCCAATACCCGAGAGGCTGCCCATAGCCCTTACCACCCTCCCCAAGCACCACTCCCAGCTCTGGCCCCAAGCAGCCACTGAGTGGTTGGTCCCTCTCCCTCCTTCTCCACTGTCTCTCAGTCCCTATTGGACAAGCATGGTGGTCTTTTAGTGTGTCCTGACCTCAGGGTTCGCTGCAGTACATGTTTTCCTTGGTCATCGGGCACAGGGGGTGCCCACACTGAATGCGTGGCCTTCTTCCTCCTCACCAGGCACGCCACAGCCTCCTGGGAGAGCAGAGAAAGGTGGTCCCTGGGAACCTTGCCTGTGTCCCACCAGCTCACCACGGCCAAAGCTGGAGACCAAGAGGCCCCAGCTCACAGGACGCCCCGTGGGGATGCCCAGGCCACCTGCAGAGCAGCCAGCTCCATGCACGGGAAAGCCACCTTCTCAGCATCTGCACCCCCACCCCCAGCCTGTCTGAGATCAGCCCCGGCACCAATCCCCCCAAATCACTTCATTATTTCTTTGTAAATAGTGTTTTTCTTAGTCAAAATAATCAGGTTTTTTGTTGTTGCTGCTACATCTGGCTTTGATTGCCCCGGTCTCTGTGGATGCTAGAGCCCTGACGTTATGACCAATGGGGGAAGGGGGCCCCTGTCCCACCTCCCTCTCTGCACCAGGCCAGCCCCCTCCCTGCACAGGAGAGCACAGCTCACAGGGCAGGTCCCTGATCCTGCCTTTTCAGGTTTGGGGCCCTCCTGTCGTGTCCATGAGGGTGCTGGCCTCCAGAGGTGCCTCCGGCCACTTCCCTTACTGAGCCACCATAGAAGATCCCAAAGCCACACCCAGCCCTTCTCCACAATTCATGGAGTCTGGCAAGAAGGGGTCCTGCCTCCCTGTCACAGGAGAGTGTATGTCCCCAGCACCTGCAACCAACACTTCTGCCAGGACCAGGGTCACAGGCAGGGGGTGCCACGGAACCACATCACCCCAGGAAGCTCAGGCCATTTCCCACAGTGACGCCCCACCCGGGCCCTCTGCTCCTGCCTCCTGGACACTTGCGCACACAGGAGCTGAGCACCTGAAGCTCACCTCTGCTCCGTCCCCTAGGCTCCCCGGAGAGCTCCCTGCAGCGAGGCCCGGTTTGGGGTGCCTGGTGGGCTGTTTGACCCCTCCTCTCCATGAGCTGCCTTCCATTTCAAGTGAGGGAGCCACAGCCCTGCTCCCCTGGTGTCCCTCAAGCCCTGCCAGTCTCAGTTCTGACACTGCACCCCTTCCTCCCCTGACCCAAGAGAAAGCCACTGTGTTCCTGTGTCCCCATGTCTCTTGTGAGCCTCAGACATCTGGTGTTAAAGCTGGCAGTGGAAGGGAGGCCTCACCAGGAGTGCTGTTCTCTGGGTACTGTGGAGGTGCTCAGCACCCCAGAATCCAGGCTTGAATGTGCCCATGGAGAGGAATGAATGACAGATGTGCCCACACTGCGCTGCTTGCCCATGAGCGCATGTCAGCAGCGACTGGGCTTCTGTGCCCAGGTGCCTGGCTCACCCACCCTCTTCCCTCCTCTGATTCCAGGACCTGCAGCTGGGCCCACTCAGGGCTGTTCTTGCCCAACAAGTCGCAAATATCATGTGACAACTGGTTGGTCGAGTCCACAGCACTGGGGGTGCACCACTGGGCACCTGGCCTGGTCTAGGCCCGCAGGAGTTTGCCCACTGACCCTGGGAAGCACCAGCCAGATGGGGAATCCTGCAGAGACTGAGATGGAGCACAGAGACCCTGAGGGGTRCAGCCTCTGTGTCCTGGGGATGCAGAGTGCTCCCTGGGGGTAAAGGGTCGGGGTAGGTTAGACACTAGAGTGGCCGACCCCCAACCTCAGGCCCTCTGGCTTTGCTGAGGTGCCAGGGGCCCGACAGGCCCTGAGTGGATACGCAGCCTTGCAGCTGCGGTCCCTCCCCRTGGCGCCTAGGGCAGGAGAGCCTCCGCTAAGCAGAACAAGGTGCTCCCCTTTCCTCTCCTACCTTCACTTTACGAAGTGTTTGGAATCCCGACAGCCTAAGCAGCTGGACGCGCCTTACCCCAGTTCTCCCTGGGACTTCACCGGCGGCCAGGGCCTTAAATAATTCTTATAAAAACCATGTCAGCCCCAAACTGTGTGATATCTGATTTGTAGCACTCATAAAACCCCATGCCTGCTGCCAGAGAGGGGGAGGGCCTGGGCCAACCTGCAGGGGTCTCATTTCCCGCTGGAGAATGTGCATGTGTGTGTGCGCGCATGAAGGGAGGGAGGGTGCTCTGGAGGGGCAGAGGGTCGCGCAGGAGCTGGGCTCTCGCCGTCCAGCTTTGCTCTCTGGCATCGACCTCGCCACCAGCAGAAGCTGCTGACCCCTCTCCTTCGCTGGAGCCCCGACTGCTCTCAAAGTTCKGCCTGCAGGGTCTGACTGCTTCATGATGATGGCCATGGCTGGAGGAGGCCGACAGGGGCTGGACGGTCAGAGCAGCAGCAGGAGTGGCTGCCTGCCTGGGGGCCGGTCTCCTTGGGGGCTGGTAGACGGTGTAGCTCCTGCCCCAGGTCAGCTTTGGGATGGAAGTTCTGTGGACCGGAGGTTGTCCCAGCAGCCATCCTGACTGAGCCCTAGGAAGGAATAAGGGATGGAGCTGACCGTGATGCTCAGGAGGAGGCTCAAGCGAGTGTGCAGCACAGTGAGGGGTGGGTCATGCCGAGAGGCCCTCGCCCTGCCCTCGGCCTCCATGCCCGGACTCGGGTCTGTGTGTTGTGCTTCTCTGGATGTCCCCAGCACGCCCCCAGTGCTGGGAGGTTACAGAGCACTGCTCAGAGGACCCAACATCAGGCCTCAAGTGCCCAGAGGCCTGGGCACAGACAGGCCTGGACAGCTACCCAGAGTGTTCTCTTGACTCTGAGAGGGAGCCAGAGCCACCAGCACCACGTGGGCCCTGCTGGTCAGTGAGTCTGGATAATAAGACCCTGCTTAGGCCGCAGCTATGGAGAGGGGCTCCTCGGCAGGAGGTGGTCATTGGAGGCCCAGATCAAAGGTGCTGAACACGTTCCTTGGGAAGGTGGGCCAGAGTAGCCCAGGCCAGGGGCCTAGAGGAGTCTGCTGCTCATGTGTTTCCTCTGGGAGGAGAAAGCCCACTGCTGGGGTCCCTGTGCTGGGGCCATAGATCATCGCAGGACCCAGCCATGGCAGCTTCTTTCAGTGGTCATCCTGCCTTTCCTGAGGGTCTCTAGCAGGCTATGGGACCTCGGACCCCAGGGCCTATCTGGGGTTTGAGGACCACGTGCCAGCCGCCTCTGGGCTGGGGGTGGTCCTTGTCTCCCCTGCTCCTAGCAGGTAGTGGACAGCCACCAGAACTGGACAGGGCTTTCACAGAGGGGCACATTGGAGCTGCTGGGGGCTCGGAAGGGCCCATGTGGAAGCTTGCAGAGGGGTCATGGCTGTGGGTCATGGCTGGGCTGTGAGTGCTGGAGTCCTGCCTGCTTCCTCTCTAAGCTGTAGCCTGAGGACCAAGGCTCTCTGCTGTGGCCTGGTCCTCATCTAAGGTGGCAATGGTGATGCTGGCCGAGAGTACACAGGCCCAAGCTGGCTGGCAGAAGGAGCCCCAGCACCCTCTAGGTGCGCCCTCTGGGGACCGTGCCCCGGGGCCTGCCCTTCTTCTCTGCCCCAGGGGTGCTGGCATTAGCAAGGCCCGTGTCCCTGCCCAGCTGGTCTCTGCCCCTTGCTGTCTGTCCCTCCCATGGCCACGGTGTGGCAGAGTGTGGCCAGGCACAGGCACTGGAAGCCCAGTCCCAGTGCAGCTGGCCACTCCTCAAAGGTGGCATTCCGCTACTGGCATGGTGGGGACTTGCTTTGTGCCGGCCCAGACCCTGGCCACGAGGTGGCGTGGCCTACCCATCCAGTCACCAAGACCGCCACCCCACATGCCAATTCCAATGACTCTCAGCCCTGTGACAGCCTCTACCCCACATTAGGGCCTGGCTCAGACCTCTGGGGATGTCCCCGCTCTCAGGGGTCTCCCTGGCCCTAAGGCATTCAGCAGCACTGTGCCCCCAGCCCTACAGGCTGCCTCCTGCTGCCTCTGGCAGGGGACATGGTGTGGGGCCCTGTACTCATGGAGCCCAGCCCTGCTCCTGTTACAGGGTTCCACCGGGTCCCTGCCCTGGCCTCCAGAGGTCGGCTGGCTGAGGGGGACCTCACACTGTTCTTTCTCTCCACTGAGGAAAGCAAACCTGTGGCCCGACTCCTTCCTGGTGGGCACCCCCTCCTCCCTCTCCCTTCAGACAGACCTGGGACTCAGGAGGGTGACTTCAGACTCATGACCCCCACGGATGACTTAGCCAGGCCGTGCAGAGACAGTGGGTTTATGCACATCTCCTTCAGAAAGCGGCAGCCTGCTGGGGCTCAGCCTGTGCCGAGGTCTGAGGACCAGGGGCTTCAGGGAGCTGGGAACCACCTGGGCTCCTGCTAGGGTGCAGGTGTGGCCCAGGTGCCTGGGGTCACGGGCTCAGACAGAACATCCAAAGAGCCAGGCCATTTTACCAGAGTCCAGATCCTAGGACCGGACTGACAACCCTAGATCCTGGGGCAACCTGGTGGGGTACGTGACCACCTTCAGCTTGTCACTGTGCCCTCCAGAGGGGGCAGCCTGAGCCTTGGAAAGTCTCCTAAAAATAAATCCTCGGCTCATGGTGGTAAAGAAAGCCCGATGGGGTTAGGGCCAGCTGCTGTTCCCATCTCGGCCTGTCCTCACCTCCCAGAACATCCCCTGCCTGCTGGCCCCTCGGCCTCTCCCCAGCTAAATCCGCCTTGGCCCCGGGGCCAGTACATAACAGGAAAACTATGTGTCCTGGCCCCCTCTGGGGCTTTGGGCGGACGTGCCCACTTGTGCTAGGGTAGAGGGCCGACAGCTGCCCAGGGAGGTGATGAGGGATGCCAGAAAAGCCCTTCATCTGAAATACCAGCGGCTCCCTGGTGCCGGGAAGCCCGAGTTCCAACTCCTCTGCTGAAATAGAAACGGCTCTGGGGACGGGCCACAGCTGCCCACGTCCATCAAGGTGACTCCAGTCGGAAAGGCGGCTTCCAGACTTTCCCAGCCTTGGGCTTTATAGGGTCCTCTGCTTGGGACCCCCAACCTCCAGACAAGGGAAACTGCAAGGTGCCCCCAGCAGCCCTTTGAGAACAGGGCCAGGAAGGGCTGCACTGGTCGCTCAGGCCTTCTGTGCACCCCGACTTCTCAGGTCTAGGCCACCTCCCCAGATACAGGGAGGGCGCAGGAGCCGCTTCTGCCCCCCCCGCCTCACAGTTAACCACTTCCTCACGGAGGACCCTCCTCTCCACCCTGGGCCCCCTCACAGGCAGCATTATGGGAACCTTGGAACTGGGGGACCAAGGCCTGGGAGGACCCCAGGGACAGAGGGGGTGCAGGTTGCAAAAAGCCCCCCTAAAGCTGTGGGAATGAGTTGGAAACACAGGGAGTGCCCACCGAAAGGCCCGGAGCTGAGGGCTGTTGTCCCAAGAGGGGACAGGTGGGGGCAAAGGGATGGGAGTAGGCGCCAGCCTGTTGCCTGGGCCTGGCGCACTGGGCCACGTGCTTGTGTATGGAGCTCATGGAACATTCTTGGTAGGGCGGGGGGCAGAGGGCCGGGGCTGGGTGCAAGAGTCATGAGGGGGTGTCTGACATTTGGCACGAGGCCCCCAGCGCACTTAGTCACCTCTGAGGTATGACTCCCCCCGCCGCACCCTGGTGTCATCGTCATGGCAACGCTGGGAGGGGCAGGCAAACAGAAGACAACAGAGGTCTCCTGCTCCTGACCGTCCCCTGGAGGGCATGGGACAGTGAGGAGACACCACCAAGTTTGGGAGAAGCTCTGGCTGGCCCTAAGCCAGCCCTGACTGGCTGTGTGCGCCCCTCTCCTGCCCCTTTCTCCTGAGCCGGGACATTGGAAGGGGCTCAGGGGGGCCCTGGATGAATGGGGTCAGGTGCCAGGGCTGGGGTGACAGTCCCTAGATCTTGAGGTCTGTGGAGATAGTGGTGCAGGCCCCTCCCACCCCCAGGTTCTGGGGCGCTGGGACCATTTGTGCACAGGACAAGCAGCCCCAACCCCTTAGAGGGCTTCTGTGGTACTCCATGAAGCAGGGACCCCACCTCTTAGGACACCGGGTCTCCCATGTTCAGGGGAATCCTGGGCTGGGTCACCAGTGAGTCCCCAGGGAGCAGCCCCAGGCTCAGGTGGCCTGGTGGGGGCAGTAGAGGAACATGGTCCCGTGTGCGGTGCACCTCGGGGCCTCCTGCCCCCAAGCCAGGCCAGCTGACTCCACAGGGCGCCTTCCCACCACCCCCACCCCCGGAATGCTGCTGCAGAACAGAATGTGGGTCTGGCTCACACACCCGGACCACCACCCCTTCGGGGCAGGGAGATCCTGGGCCCAGGACATCCTGATATTTGAAATAGAAGCGCTGTCCCTGTGGGGACAGCTGGGGACAACCCAGAGAGATTTCCTGTGCTTCACCAGGGAAACCGAGGCAAGAACTGATGTGGAGGTTCTTTGTTCCCATTTCTCAGAGGCCTGTACCTGGACAGGAGAGTTCATGAGCCCCCCCCCCCGCCACCCCCACGCCTCAGAGAGCGCCAGGGCTGCCTGGAGGCAGGGGCTGCTTGTGTCGGGAGTCCCCCGGCCCGGACCAGGGGTGGCGCTGCTGCCCAGGAGGCAGCCGGACACTGGACAGAGAGGTCGTGCCTGGAGATGGCCAAGCAGTCCTTCCCGGCTTAGCTGTTCGAAACCTGAGACAGCCGCAGCCTAAATTAGGGTCTGAGGGAGCAGGTCAGGAGGCCACAGCGCCACCAGGAAACCTGAGCCTCGCGGCAGAGATGACCTGCCCAAAGAAGGAAAGCCCAGCGCACAGGCAGGGCCGCCAGCCCCTCCAGGAAGCTCCAGTGTCCCCCAGGGCGGACGTCTCTCCAGGACCGCCCTCCTGCTGGGCCCCCAGCCCTGCCCGCCCGCCTGCCCGCCCGCGTCTGCTTTCTGTGTTAGAGGGATCGGGTTCACCCCTCCTCCAGGGCCGTGTCTTATCTCTGGGAAAGAGATTACTGACTCTCTGACATTCAGTTTTCATGCTCAGGTTTTCAGCATGGAGTTTGAAAAGTGTGTGTGTGTCTTCCCAAATCACACCTGGAGAGGAGGCAGACAGAGGGGGGCTGTTCCCACAAAACCCGGAGCTGGGGGTCACCACATCCCATCCCCCTGCCCCACACTAGGGGCCACAGGGACTCCCACCCTCCCCCAGCGGGAGGCAGATTGATTTTGGCCCTGTGGGCCTCTTCCAGCACCCTGTGACCTGCCCTGTCCGCCAGCCCACCTGCACCCTGAGCTGCCCAGCTGGTGGGTGCCGGGGTGCACCCTCAGGTGCTGCTGCCCTCCACCCTCCCTCTCACAGATCCCTCTTCCGGGCCTTAGTTTCCTGTGTGCAGCTCTGGGCAGCCCCTAGAGCCCCCCCACACACACACACCCGAGAGGGGAGCCCCCCGGTCTGAGGGTCCCCTCTGAGCCCAGGGTGGTCCTGCGGCCTGGCCCTGATTCCTGTCCCCCGGCAGCGGTAATGGAGGAAGCCTGTCTTCTGGCTCTGGGTAACTGGAGGGCCGCTCGTCTGTGGGTCATTTTGATTTGGGGATTTCCAAACATTGGGGCCACGAGAGGTCACCCTGCTGACCCCAGCCTGCCTCATTATGTCACAGCCAGATTGCTGTGGCACCTGATGGGATCCAGAAGGCCCAAGCCAGCAGGAGGGGGAGGCCGGGGCCTGGGGGCGGGCAGGGCGGGGAAGGGGCTCAGGGCCTGCCTGGCCGAGCTCAGCGGCCTGCCTGGCCTAGCTCAGCGGCCCGCCTGCCTGCCAGCCATTCTGCTGCCTCGAGGAGGGCGCCCCTGAGCACGCAGCCTCGCCGGAGAGCCCAAGGTCCAGCCCACAGGAGTCCTGCCAACTTGACTCCTTGATACCCTCAGATGGCCACTGGTCCTGGCCCTCCCTGGCCCTGGTCTGGGCCTCCTCTCCTCCCAGAGGTCCCTACCCGTCCCCTGCTCCCACTGCCGTTGGGCCAGGCTAAGCTGGAGCTGCACCAGCTCAGCCCGGCCTCCAAGCCCTGTCCTCTCACCCAGAACCTCTCCCCTGGTCCTTCTCTGTGGCCCCTCCTGGCCCTGCCAGGCACTCGTGTGGCCCAAGGGAGGGTCACTTCAGCCACCCATCCCCTGTCTGCTCCCAGCATCCTGATCCTGGGTCCCTCTCTTCTGCTCCCTGTCATACTCTCTTGGGGGGTTGTGTCTCAGATCCAAGCCTCCCAGTGCACGGCCTCCCTGGCTCCCACATGACGTGGCACACAGCCCTGGGGGCTGCACGGAGACTCCCAGAAGGGCAGGCTCCTGGGCCCAGCTCTCTGTCCTGCCCTCAACTGTGGCCCGGCCTGCCTCTGGCTCCACTTCCCTCCAGTGCCTCCCTTTCTCTCTGGGGACCCCAACAGGTCTCCATGCCCAGTCTGGCCTCCCTTCCACGTGCAGGGCCCAGTCATCGACTAGTCACACTTCTGTCTGTGACCCCAGGGGGTGACAGCAGGGCCAAGGGGCCAGACAAAGGCACGAGCCGTGTTCTCCCCACTGCCCACGACCCTTGGAGCTCCAGGCCTTTCTCCCACCTCCCCAGAGACCCTTCCCTGCCAGGGCGAGTGGGCAGGTGGGAGGGGTGAGGCCGGTGGGAGCTGGTTGCCCTCCAAAGCCAGGCTTGCTCTCCCAGGAGGGGTGGGCAAACCCAGGGAGGAGGGCACCCCAGACCCACTGGAGTCCTGCCAGAGAAGGGCACTCTGGGGCTGGGCAGAGGCCAGGCCAGGCCAGCAGCCCTCTACCTTCCTTCCTCTTCCCTCGGAGGCACAGATGCTCAGCACTCTGGGGGCTCTTGTGGGGAGGTACCCAGGCCACCAGGCAGAGGTGTCCAAGGCGTGTGGATGTCAACCTCCTCCCCGGGTGAGGGCCCGTGGCCCGGCTGAGCACCACGCCTTGCCCGTCCCCGGGTGCCCTGGAAATGGGAGATGGGTCAGCAGTGCCCGAGGCTGGGCAGTATTTGGGGGCACCATGTTCCTTCCTGTGCTTCCTTCCGAGCCCAGCTTGGCCCCTGGGGCTTAGCGGATCAGCACTTTCTGCAAACCCCACACGCCCTAGGCAGAGCCAGGCCAGCAGGGCATCATATGCCTCCGGAGGGGGACTTGGCCCGGGCCCCAGGGCGGCTGGGCCACCTTGTTTCCCCCTTGCCTCTCCTCACCACGCTGCCCACGTTCCACCCCCTCCCCTTGACGCTCCTCTGCCTTCTCTCCAGCCTCCTGCCTCTCCCGGCCGGCCCTACACACAGCCCTCCTGAAGGTTCAGAGAGGCACAAAATGGCCGCAGCACCACCCACTCTCGGAACGGCTGGCTCGGCTTCCTCTTCCAGTAGGGGTGGGCAAACCCAGGGAGGAGGGCACCCCAGACCCGCTGGAGTCCTGTGGGTGGCCCCGGAGGGCAGGGATCCAGAGGATGGCCAGCAGGACCTCTCCGGATGGGAGTCTCCTGTTCAAGTAAGACCTTGGTAGTTTGGCGTGGTCCTCGGGTTGGCTTTGGATCCCCATTCTCTACCCTACTGTGACCAAAGAGTTCCCAAAGTCCAGCGCCACCGGGAGCCCATGGGACTCAGTGGGCAGACTGCACCAACCTTCAGGAGAGTGGAGGTTCTGTGTGCCAGCGCTAGACATGGAGGACTCCACGCAGGACACACAGGCACCAAGGGAAGCCTCTTGTCCCAGCCATGGGCTCCAAAGACAGACCTCTTGGGGACCTGGCCACCCCTGGGTACGGCTCCCCTGTTCCCCGCGTCCATCCCCTGGGGGAAGTCCCCGGAGCCTGGTCTCCCCTTCTGATGCCTTGCCATTGTGTGAGGAGGATCAGAAACAGAATTTCTGGAAGACGGGAGAGAGGAGACTGCCAGGTGGACAGGACCAGGGCTGGCCCAACAGATGAGTGTCTTCAGAGGATGGAGGGACTCCCAGGGGACAAAGTGGACATTTAGAGAAGGAGAAGAGCTTCAGGGGCAGCAAATCCAGGGACCAGTTGGAGACAAAGTGGGATGCCCGGGGCCTGGAGTGCCCTGCTTGAGGTGGCTGCAGGCCTGGAGCAGCCGGACCCAGAAAGGGTGTCTAGCTGGGGCCAGGGGCAGCTTTTGATGGGAGAGATGTCCTGGGAGAAGCATGGACAGGAAGCAGATTAGCAGGTTGGAGAGAGGGGAGTCCTGGAGCTGAGAGGAGGTGGAGGAGACCTGGCCACCATACTGTCAAACGTAGGTCCTGCTCCAGCCAGGAGCCARCCAGGTGGGTGCCATTTCATAAGGCTGTGCGTTTCCAAGGGCTAGGGCAGGAGAGGACCTGCAGCCACCCCATGGTTGGGATGCAGACCCACAAGCAGACACAAGACAAGCAGATMTGGGGAGGAAGACCCAGCTCTGTGTCTTGGGGTGAGGAGTGGCAGGCCAGTGCGGTGGGAGTGTGGGAAAGGTGCTCCTGGGACAGAGGGTCTGAGAGCCACTCACCCCTCTTGGCAGTCCCACCCAAGAGACTGAGTGACCTGAGAGCCGGGAGGGAGGAGGGGTCCTGAAGTCGTAGACACAGGATGGTAGTCCCCTGAACCAGCTGAGTGGCCCCTCCCAAGCCATGACAGAGTTCTGGGGACTGGCGCCTAGGACTGGGAGGTGGGAGTCTGGTTCTCGCCCTGGTCCGGTGAAGGTCTCAGCCCATGGGGCCCAGGCCAAGAGGAGACATGGAGAAGTTCCTGGAACCCAGGTGGGTCCCCGATTACTGCCGTGTTCCTGGACACCCCACCACAATGGGGTGTATTCCCACACGCCCCTCTTGGTGAGGAGGCCAGGCCCACCAGATCCATGGACAGGGTCCATGGCTGGCTGGGCCCGCGGTGCCCCTCTGCCCTCTGGGCGCCTCTCCTCCTGCTCCATCGCCAGCTCCATCACCCGTCTCCACTGGGTTGGGCTGCAGGGCATCTGGAAAAGCTCTAGAGAAATGCAAAGCCATGTTGTGGATCTCCAGACCAAGGGGTCAGGCAGGAGGGGCGGGGGGAGCGAAGCTCAGATCCCTGGCCACCAGGCCTTGAGTCTTCGACTCCCTGAAGCCATTATTTGCTTAGGTCACAGCTCCCAGCCCGCTGGGACCAGGGAGAGGGGCTCAGGCCTCTTTCCTGATGAGGTCGGCTTATCCCCAAGGCCAATGAGACTTCAGAGCAGAGGTGCAATGCTGGCACCTTTGTTCTGGAGCCTGGGAGCTTATCTGCTCAGAGGGGCACCCTTCTGAGATGGGGCAGGGAGGGGCCGCTTGCTCTCCATCTCACGGGAAGCCAGGAAGGGAGGAAGCCGGCTGGAGTCAGACGGGATCAGGGATGTGGGAGGGTGGCCTCTTCCCTGGGCTGCGGTGGCCCCTCCAGGGCCCGTCTAGCTGAGAGCTGCTGGGGAGGGGAGCCGTTTCCAGTTGGGGCCATGGGTACCTGGGCCCACAGAGGTGGACGCTGGGAACCACCTCCCGGGGGATCTTCTTGAGGGACGCAGTATCCCACCGGGTGCCCGGCCATGTTGGCCCTCCTGAAGTTCTCCGTGGTCCTGGTGGGCCCTGACTTGGTCCTCCAGGGCCAAGGCTAGACCTGGAGGCTCTTCAAGGGCCCACTGTCTTGGACCCCCAGAAGTCCAGTCTGGACATCTTGGAACAAGAGGTATTGATGCCATGCTGGGCTCCAGCCCATGGTGGTCTCAGGGTTGGTGCTGGGTGGGTCAGGAGAGCGGGCTGTTTTCCGAAGACGTCCTCTCTCCCGGCCTACGCACTCCTTCAGACGCGGACAGAGCTGCGTGCTGGTCTCCATCACGGGCCCATCCTTGACTGTCTCACCAAGACCCAGGGACCCACAGTGGCTGCTCCCCTACCGGCCGGCTGAGAAAAGGACCTCGGTGCAGGGCACACGGCAGGGCGGCCAGGGATTGGTCACTGCCCGAATGTCCCCGGACGGATGCCCGTGTGCCCTTGGGCAGCCTTCCCCTCGGACACAGTGTCCAGGCGGGGGAAACCCTAAGCCAAAGGGATTAAGAAGAAAGGACAATTGACTGCTCCCTTGGCGGTGCTAATTTGTGCTTCATTTAGTGCATATTCACCCAGTGGGTCTGAACACAGAGGGGATGACGCCCTTGCTCAGGTCAGCCTCCCACAGAGGCCCGGCCCCGCCCGGCCCCGCCCGCGGCACCCCTGCCTGCCTCTCCCCCAGCAGCCATCTTGCACATTCCTGTGGCTCTGCAGGAGGGGTCAGGAGCCTCCTCGGGGCTCTTGGGCACACCGAGGGGTGCTGGGACCCTCTGCGTGGGCATCGGAGCTGGGGTAGAGGGAACAGCAGACCTGGGTCAGGATCCCAGGGTTCTCTATGGCCATCTGCTATGATCCCCAAGCCTTGAAAGACTCCCAGCCAGCCTCTGCACTTTTACTGAGGCTGGCTTTGACCTCCCCATCCTCCTGCCTCAGCCTCCTGGTATACTGGGATTACAGGCGTGTGCCATTGTGCCAGGCTTGGCTGTCAACTTCTTGAAGGACAGAGGACCACAGGTGACAGGAAAGGACTGGGGAGGGTCTGGCCTCTCTTATCTCCTGAGTTCCGAACTCCCTTTGGCTGGCCCAGCCCCCCATCCCCAATCTTCCCGCCTGTTCTGCTGGGACTGAGCCGGCAACAGGACGCCCTCTGGGTTCAGTTGTCCCTGGTGGCCAGGGCCCCCAAGTGCCAGTCTGGAGAGGGGGGTGGGAGGGTGGGGGTGGGGCTCCCCAGACCTGGGGGGTGGCAGTTCTTTTTCCTCTCTCCCCAAACCCTCAGACCAGACCACTTAAGAATAATGAGGTCCAGGTGGCCCCGTGTGAGCTCGATCCTCTCTGGCTGCGGGGCCCAGCCTCCCACCCGCCCCTCCTCCTGCTGGGAGCAGCTAATGACAACCAGAGTCTGGAAGGTGCGATGCCCTTCTGCTGTCAGGACTGTGTGGGACCCTCACCGGCAGGTGGGCCACATGGCAGGGGTCTGGTCAGGCCGAAGGGGCCACTCTCCCGACCTGCCCCAAGGCACAGCCCTGGGCACCTTCCACTTCTATTAAACTTGGGCCTCTACCCTGTCGCCTGTGGCCCTTGTGGTCCTGCCATGGTCCCTGCTGCCAGGGGCTTTTTGAGGGACATCAGATGACATTTCTCCTCCTCTGTGGCCCCTTGTTCTCACGAGGTGTGGCCTCTGCTTTCCATCTGCCCAAGGAGAAGAGAGCCCAGGAGCCTCCAGCAGGAGAGGAGGTGAACGGAGCCCGTGTGGACGCCGAGCGGCCRTCTGTATTTTACTACAATAAAGTGGAAAGGCCTGTGAGGCCGCGACAGGCACGGGTGGCGGGAGCTTCTGTCGTCACAGGGGACCAGCGGGTCCCGTTGGCCGTCCCTGGCACACAGAGCGCGGACCGGGCTGCCAGCTCTGGCGGAAGTCAGGACCTCCAGCCCTCCCTGTGGCCCTCACCTCCCGCGAGACCTCTCCCTGTCCTCTCGCTTCCGGCCCCTCACTGTCCTGGCCCCCAGCTTTCCTGTGCCTCTCAGCCTCAGCCCAGGCCAGCTCTGGCCATCGGTTATAAATGTGGGGGTGCAACGTGCCAAAGCCACATGCCCMTGGAGCACATGGGCCCCAACCCCTTGGAGGGACATGGTGGCTTTATCAGAGACGCCCCTTGGGGGGAGACCGGCTCCTCCAGGAAGGCCCCGCAGGCAGGCCGCGGGGCCTGGGAAGGGCAGTGGACTGTGGAAGGAAGCAGGGTCTCAGTCAGAGATGACAAGTTTGAAAAGGCAGGGTGAGAGTGTCCACGCAGAGAGGGCGGGACTGATAGTGCCGTTCCCAGCCTGGAGGCCAGGCCCAGCTCAGCCCTGCAGCCCACTGCTCTGGCCCATTCCCACAGGAAAGGGAGAGAATTCTGATTTTTATTATGAGAAAGAGATAAGAAAGACCAAAGTAGAAATGGATGCTGAGCAGGCACTTCAGGGCTCAGGGAGGGAGGGCCAGGGTGGGGCTGAGCCGGCCACAGGGGAGCTGGCCGTGAAGGGGGCTGGCRGGCAGAGGCCAGGGATCAAGGCCAGCAGGCGGTGGGTGGCGGGAAGAACAAAGGCCCAGCCGGCCGGAGGACCTGCCGATGATCACACGGCCGCACGGAAGGGCGCCCTGGCCCCACAGCCCACCCTGCACAGCATGTCCACAGGCATCGATAAGTTGCTGGTTACACAATCACAGGCTGATGGTGACCAGAGCGGCTGACAGACGCCAGCTGGCCCTGGAGAGTTCGAGGGGAGGCTGGGGTCCAGGGTCTGCTCTTGCCTCTGCTCTCCCCCAGCCGTTATCATCAGTAAACCTGCCCTGTCAGCAGGGTCGGTCACCACGTGGCCCAGTGGCCACCGTTATTGTCTTCTCACTAAGCCTCGAGCTTATCTCCCAGCCATCCTGGTCACAGGGATGGGTGTGGGGTAGAAATCCCACAGCCCACAGAACCTCCCTCGCTCTGCCCACCACCCTCTCCTGCCTCAGAGCCGAGGCCCGATAGCCTTCCGGGCTGGGGCTCTAACCCGTGTGGAGCCCCTCCCGCAGGGTGGACTGCTCTGTGGGACCTGCGAGGTGGTCTGAGCTGCCTGCGGGCTCCCTGGGCTTGGCCTGGTCCTGCCCTGGTGACCTAATGGTCAGGAGCTCAGGCCGGGTGAGCTGGTACCCACGCTGGGAGCCAGGTGACACAGGCAGATGGACATTCTTGGCAGAGCCTGGAGCCACAGAACCCCAGCTTCCCCAGCTGGGACTCCCACCTGCTTCTCCCTAGGGCCCCTCGAAGGCCAGCAATCCAGGCAGAGGGTGGGATGGGGAGTGCAGGAGGGGCCTCTGGGTCACCTCCTCGGCTGCTTTCCCACAACACCCCCATCACGGGCTCTTCTCCCTGGCACCCCCACACCTCGCAGCTGCCCAGGAACCGCCAGCTGCTGCTTCACCCCCGGCGCTGGGTGCAGCCTGGCCCAAGAGGGGCCTGTGTCCCTCGGGCAGCAGACTTTTCCCAGGGCTGGGATGGGGCCGGCTGGTGTGGGGGGCGGGCGAGGAATTTGAGGAGGAAACAGCAGTGGCCTGAGAATTTGGAAAATGTGTCCAACTGCCTGGACTCTTGGGAAGACGCCGGCAGGAGGATTAGGAGAAGTGGAGGGTGATCCCTGGACCGGGTGGGCGTGACTGATGCGGCAGCCTGGCTCCCAGGCACGAGAGGGAAGCCCCCATGGGGGCGAGCAGCTGTCTCCATCAGTCAGGGTGCCTCCCCTCCTCCCAGCCTCTAATCAAAGACCTTCGACCCAGGTGGGGTGGGAGCAAGATTCCTGGCCACACCTTGCAGGTGGCTGAGCCCAGGCCCTTCCAGGCCTCTCCTCCCTCTCTGCAGAGCAGGGCTTGGGACTTGAGGGTGGGGTCCTGGGGGGGGGAAGGCTGCTCAGGAGCCCCCTCCTCTCCTGGAGCTCCATTTTCTCTCCCCAAGAGAAGGAGGGGTGGGTGGTGGTGGGGGCTTCCCACTGGGGAGGGGCAGCGAGGATGCTTCCGGACAGGCGGGTCCCTGGGAACCCTCTGGAACAGCAGCTGTCCCTGCCCTTGGAGGCTGTTGACAGGTTGGCTGCAGCCCCCTGGGTGAGTGCGACACGGTGGGTCACAGTGGAGACTCACACCAGAGGGAACGGGCCTGGAAGCCCAGCAGCTGCTGAGGCCCGAGGTGGGCTGCCTCTCCCTCCCCCACTGCTCAGTGGGCTGCACTGGCCCCTGGGCCTCAGCACTGCCTCCCAGGGCTACCTCCACCAGGACCAGGAAGGACCCCAGGCCCACTGACACAGGCTGGGTCAATGGAGACATCTTGCAGCTGGGTCTCCTCACCTCCCACACTGATGGGACCCTAAGGGGGCAGTGCCATCACAGTCACCCGACGCTGTGGCCCCGGCCAGCTCCAAGCCGAGTCCAGGCCATGAGCTGGGCACATTCCACTCCAGAGCAGACAGGATGGTTCACAGACCCCGTGTGCCCCAGACATTGTGTGTGTGTGTCCTGGGAATCGGGGCTGACCCTGTGGGTGCTGCTGAGCTGGCTCTGGGCCTGAGCTGGCTCGGGCAGCAGGTGAAGGGCCACGGGGTCCTGACCCTCAGCCCCACGTTTGTTCAGCTTGCTTTGCAGGGGGGACAGTGTATGCTGAGAGAGGCCCAAAGGATAAGAATCCCTGGGTCATTGACTCCTCTAGCTTTCACTGGTCTTAGCTCCCTGCCCACTCCACCGGCAGCCCCTTCAGGCCATGGTCTCCCTCTCTTCTGGAACTTTCTGGGGAGCCTGGGAAATATTTTCCCACCCAGTGAAAGCTCCAGGCACCCGCCATGGTGGGAGAGCAAAGCAGGCACTACTGTGGGTCTCTTCAGTGTTGTTYCTGGGGCTCCCACGTGGCCCCGTGGGTCTGGCCTGGAAGCCCCCTGGCCCCCTACCCCCATGGGACTCGACAGAGGCCTATATCTACCTGCCTATGTGCCACAGCCCACTGGCTGCTGTGTCCAGATAGGGTGAGGACCCTCCCATGTGGGTGAAGACCCCAAGAGCCCTGGTCTGGCGAGCGTGCATGTGGGCTGCTCTGGCTGGGGACCGCAGCGGGGCAGCACACATGCTGAAAGGTGGCCACATACCTGGGAGGCCCCAGTGCAA